AAGTATGCAAGAGTTCATAGATAATATATAATGATCTAAAAATTATATTTTTGTCAGTTATTGACCAAATGCTGTATGGCACCATTAGCATTGTGCTTGACACTGCTCAAATAAAGTGGTTTCCCTTTAAGAAGCTTATAATCTAAAACATACAAATAACCATATGTAGAAAAAAAGCTAGAGATCAGAGTAAAAGGAAGCATTCACAAAAATGTACAAATTCAGCATCCCTTTAAGAAGCTTATAATCTAAAACATACAAATAACCATATGTAGAAAAAAGCTAGAGATCAGAGTAAAAGGAAGCATTCACAAAAATGTACAAATTCAGCATGCCAGAACTTTTCAGTTGAGCAACATGATCCCCAGTGAAATTCTTTCCAAATGATGTATCATGTGCACAAGTTATACATGATTATCTCCAATTTTCTTAGAAATGAGTAATAAGATACCTCTTAAGACCCATGCTTTTGTATATGCATCAAACACTAAAGTTGGCGTGGTCATTGATAGTTGCCATTTAAAGAGAAAACATATTTTCTGTCTTGTCTCATAGCAGACAAATCCAGGATTCTTTTCTCCCAGGCTGGTAATAAGCAGCCTTTTCCTAGGCTACAGTGAACAGCAAACATTGCAACTCTAAAGATGGAAGTAACAGAATGCTCAAAAATATTGCATCAAAATATTGGATACAACCTACCAGCCCATAAGGAAAAAAAAAATTGTGAAACTGACACCATCTGTGTCATCTAGCATCTATCAAAACCTTCTTGTGTCTGTATTTTCTAATGCCTAGCAAATGGAATTTACTCCCAGAATTAAGAAAACTCTTTTTAAGATGGAGGCTCTATTAAGAGACTTCTCCCTATCTCCCACTTCATCTTGTCAGTTCTTTTCCCTTGCTCAGGCTGCCTATTGTGACCATTTCAGCCAATTTCCTGGAGGTATTTTCTAGCCCTTTTCACCCTATTTAATCCTACAAGTTTCCTGGGAAGCCTGTTTACTTGTGTGCTCCCCCACTAGATTGTGAGCTCCTTGACAAAAAGGACTGAGGCTCGCTCCTCTCCGCACCCCCAGCACCTAACACATAGCCTTTGCCAAGGTGCCCCACAAACATCAACCATCTCCTCCATCAGATTGATGGCTCCTTCTAAGCACATCTCAGTCCCCAAATTGGGATTTCCATCATAAATATATGCAGAGCACATCTGAAAGAATTCTCTAAACTCTTCCAAGTTAGCACGCAGCAGTACAACTTTTGTCAAGTTTTAACAAATCACCTGCTCGCCCAAATGTCTAGTGCAATCTCAGAGGAGAGAAAACTTCTCACACCTCTCTTATTCTCTCTGCCAAAATTAGGACTGCTAACTGCTTCAAACTAAGTGGGGAACCACAGCAGGCAACTCAGATACGGTTGCTAGTTTTTACACTTAAAAAAAATTTCTTTAACTCTTTTGTTTTTTTCAATAATTTAACTTTGTATTTTCATGCTTAGCCAATTTCAAGAAACTCCAAGTCAGTTTTGGCTCTAGGAGGCTGCCTTCTAGGTAGGTACATTTGGCCTTCTGGATTAGTTCTAGCACTTTCCAAGGCCGGCTCCAAGGCAAGAGCCCTCAGTCTTTTGGGAGTTGCAACACTACCATGGTTTGTTTGATTTTCTCATTCCCATCCCCCCGAAACTCCCACCCCCAACAAAAGTGGTGTATGGCATTCATAAAGTGAATTACACTTGATTTTTGTTTAGAGGAATTTTTTTCAGACTTCTCTAACATTCCCTTGAGACAATTGGAAACATCATTGTCTGATTACTAGCTCACTTCCCTTGCCTAAAATTGTATCCATTCTTGATTGCGCCTGTGGGTAGGTTAAGCAAAACAAAATAAACATCTAGACTTATGAGCTCATTGGCTTTTTTCTGAATTTTTCTAAATTAAATAAGGGCAAAAGAGCCACACTGAAAGTCAGTTATATGGATTTTTCTGCCAAATGCTAACTCTGTGTGCCTGTTTTGCATCTGCAGTGTTTTCCAAGTTACAAATCCTTTTTTTTTAAAAAAAAAAAAGTGGGGTCTGAAGAGATCTATGGATTTGGGGGGATATGTTATTTAGAATGGCTATCCTGGGCCTTTGAACAATCTAAAAGAAATGGGAACATGAGATCGGAAGGGTTTAGATCAGCTTGGTAGAAGTCTGGGGTCGTCCTTCAGCACCAGCGATTTATTTTTTAGGCTGGCTGATTTCAAATACCATTTAGTCTCATCCATATTAGCATAAGAAATGTACCTTATCCACTCCAACCCAATTCTGCTAATGGCCAAACTTAGCAGTCAATCCCAAATGCTTCGCCTATGTGAAACAGGACATTCTTGAGGATTTCTCCTTACTGTGACCGAATCTCATTCCATCTGGGACAAAGAAAGCTTTAATGCAGTTAATACAGTGCAGCAGGCAAACCAAACATGGCTTAAAATATAGATGGGGGGGGATCAAGCGGTCATCATGATGGTTCATAACTATCAAATAATTTGCAGTTCTCTTTCAATTTTCAACTAGTGAATGACAGCAGCAAATTACGCATTTATTCACTTTGAAATTATGCACTTGCCATTGTATTTAGTCTACCACTGTCATCTCTTCTCTGAAATACTGATGAGCTTTATCCACATGTGAACATTAGGATTTTCACCATGCATTCTAAATCTACAGTGTCCATATTTGCCCAACAAAAATTCAGGACAAATGGTTTCTTGCCAGGCCTAAGAATCTAAAATCCCCACTACCACAGGAAAAAAATCGGGCTACAGGGGAGTGATATGGATCTTGCCATATTTAAATTTTGGTCTTGTTCCAATGCTCGGTGAGGACGACGCCTGCCACGTAGAAGGTGCTGGCCACCATTTAATTTTGTTAAATGCAGTTGAAGTGGGTAGGGCTGGGTTTATACAGAGAAAAAGCTGGAAACGTGCTTTCTCCTAGAGTTTGTGAAATAGTAGAGGAAAATGAAAAAATTCTCTATTACAAATAAGTCTCTATAAGTGTGACCATCCTTAGGCTGGGAGTAAGGAAGGCAGGAAGCAGGCTCTGGCCAACTCTCATAGACACAGTGTGTGGGCCCTCCCAATATTTTTATACAGATGTAGCAAAGAGGCAGGCAGCCAGAGAGCTAAGGGAGGCCTGTGTGTGTGTGTGTGTGTGTGTGTGTGTGTGTGTGTGTGTGTGAGGAGATTGCTAAATGAATATCTAGGCTTTCCTCTGGTTTTTTTGTTATGTTTTGTTTTGTTTTTTGTTTTCCTCTTTAAGCACCTTTACTTCCCAGCTTCACATCAGCCAAATGCGTCCCCAACTCCAACCCTAGATCAATTCACCTTGTGGGGGCTCAGCCTGTGAGGACCAATTTTTACATTATCAACAAAAGCATGTTCTCTAGCTTTAGCAATCTAATTACCATGGCACTTTCAGGGGAGAGAGATTCGCCTGTTGTTTCAGCTCTGTGGAACTGATTCATAGGTTGCCCCTTACAGCTCCTGCACACGCCCACGTGGTATGTTATTAACACTTAACAGTGGTAGAGGTAGTTCTACCCTCCCTTAGAGCGATATCCTGCAAAGCAATATTTAACATATGCGCAAGTGCATTTCAGTCACCAAAAAGGGTGACCAATTACCTTTGCAACTAAACAGCAGGCTCGCTAGGCTCTTTTCATCAACCTAAAGAAAAGGCTGAGGGCGCGCTGGCTGCCTAGGTAACCTCCTGCCAGTGAACACTCGGCTGGCAGCGCCCACAAGGCGCGCATCCGCATTCTCAACTTGGTCCAACCATCAGGCCCGCCTCCCTGACTCGCTGAGAGCCATCGGCCAAGTTGTGGCTAGGGTTGCTCCCTGGATCTCTCCCAGGCTCGGGGAACGTGCGCCTGGCTGGATGCAGAGGAGTCTTCGTAAACTGACCCTAGAGGCCACAAACGTCTCAGGGCGTGCGAAAACAACCGGGCGATTTCTTCCGAGTGCACCTCTGAAAAATTAATCTTTTTGAAACCTATTCTTCCTGCCCATATTGTCAGTGTAGCAACTTGTCCTAATTGGATTCTAAGGCAAGCGTTAGGAGGCCAACCGCTGGACAGTCGATCACAGAAGGCCATTAGTATTCATCTGTTGACAGCGGCAGCCCTCAGCTAAGGTTAAAATATGCCCTTACAGCACGATCTGATTGTGCAGAACAAAAGGCAGGCGTTCAGAAACTTTCCTCCGCCTAAAATCTTCTCCTCTTCGGGGTCCAGCCTGTCAAGAAGGCAGATGAATTTGGAAGGGGGAGGAGTTAAATCATCTTTGGACTCCCGCTCCGCAGGCCAGCACCGCCGATTTTTTTTAAGAGATTTTGCCAACCTAGATAAGGGAAGCTGTTTTGAAAGAAAAGACTCAGTCTTGCACGTTTTGGGGGACCCTCTTACTCAAAAGTTTCCTTCAGTTTGTCTTCACTCACCACTGCCGATTCAGAGATTTCTCCTCAACTTTGCCTGCACTTGGGCCCGGCCAGCCTCAGGAACCCAGACTAGGGAAAGGAGGGCACACGGACACACGGTGGGGAAAGTATGGCCAGAGCTGCGGGTCCAGCTAAGGCGCTAAGCGTGAGCAAGGGTGATAAATTCCCGAGATACCGGCTCCACATTGGGAAGCCTGTTTGCCCGGACCGGGGAAGGGGGGCAGCTCCCACCTTCCCGCCCTCCCCAAAAATGGGCTCTAGCAAGAAGGCGATCTCCACCATCGGCTCGGAATCCCACTCCCACATTCCCTGACAGTACCGTGAGCCCGGGGCGCGTGGACCCATACTCTGTGCTTCCCTCCCTGGGTAGACCCGGCCAGGCCCCAGAAAAGAGACCATTCCCAGGTACCCAGCAGCAGAGCGCACGACCAAGGCCACTCCGGGCCAGCGCGCTCCGGGCAGAGCCACCGCACGCGCCTTGTCTTCCCCCACTGGGTGCAGGGAATGCGCGAGGGCCCCTACTCACCTGGCACCGGGGTTTCGGGGACCCATTTGAGTCCCGGCTGCAGTCTCTGGAAGAAAGAGCGGACCTGGTGACAGGTGGCGTCTGGAGGCGGCGGGGGCTGCGCCTGTCCCAGGCAGTCCAGGCTCAGCAGCATCGCCACCAGCAAGCACGCGGTACGCACGGTCCCGGCCATCCTGCTTCGCTGGGGAGCGAGGAGAGCGCGAGAGAGTGGCAGTAGAAGCAGGAGTGGTCCCGGAACTCGGCAAGCCTGGCAGTGGCCCTGAAGAGCTAGAGACCTGCTGCTACCCTGGCCGCTGCAAAAGTTTCCTCGCAGCTACCTGGGCGCTGGGCGAGGGCGGGAACCGCTTGGTGCCGCGGGGCGGCGCGGGGCGGACCTGGGTGGGCGGGGCGAGGAGGGATGGGGCGGGGTGAGGCGAACCGCACTGCCTAGGGCACGGCGGCGGCGGTCGCGCGGCTGCTGGCCTGCGGGATGCGGGGCGTGGCGGGGAGTCTGGGGCACCCAGGCGTGCAGACCTCGAGAGAGCGGCACGAGAGCAGGGTGTTGAGCGTGTGCAGTGCCAACCGTCAGCCTTGTCCTGCTGCCCGCTCGCTGCCGCGCTACACTGGGCGCTCTGGCATAACTACTGCAGAGGGGCTGCAGGCTCGGGCGCGCTGATTGGCTTCCCAGCAGCCGTCCCCTCTGACTGGCTCTGGGAGAAGTTCCCCAGCCTCACTCCTCCCTCCCGCCGCCCATTGGCCTACAGCCCGGAGGGCTTTTCCTTTCAGGCTTTTTGCAAGCTCTCCATCCTTCCTTGGAGTGTGTGTGTGTGGGGGGGATCCGCAGTTTAGGTACCCCCCCATTCGACGCTAGGCCTTCTCCCAGCCAGATCCGGCTCGTTCTCGCCACCAGAGCTTTCTTTGCATAAAATCCACCTCCTCTTTCTGCTTTCTGAGAAGGCTTCCCAGGAACCCTTTTCCCAACGCAGCTCTAACCGAGTTCTCAAAGCCAGCCCGCAAATACGTTCAGGAGCAGCTGGAGACCTCTGGGATTTCACAGCCTGCCTCATCTTTGTACCTAAAAGGTCCAGAAGCTCTTGTAGCTTGCTGGGTCTGATTCAAGAGAACCACAAAAAGTAAATAAAAATAAAATTTTTTTTGAAATAGCACTTGACCCTGATCCAGAATGTCAAAAGACTCGGGTTTCCTGCAGGATAGTTGTGGGTGACCCTCCGTGAAGCAAAGTATAGCCGATGAGAGAAAAATAACGACCCTAACTCATTAGGAAATGATTTTACAGACCAGATTCATTAACCTATATTCATTAACCGCCGACTTCATACCTTCAGTAGAAGGCTGTTTGAAAGGTCTCCTAGACCCCAATTCCCATCTCTCCTGCTTAAATTTTACCATTAGAAATACAGTTTTTTGAGAATCAAATACCTCTTTGAGGAGAAAAAGCATTTACTCATACTCATACTCAAGTAGATTCTCTTTGAGAGTCCACACATGCATGCTCACACAGAACAACCCTAGCCCAGCCCCGTGTCCTGTGCATAGTTAAGAACTCACTATTTCTATGATGACATGACTTTAACATGTCAATGTGAATTACTTTATCGTGTGGTTGTGTTGTTTCTGACTAGACAAAAGTAAGTTTTGAGAAGTAGAGGGAAGGGTGTGCTAGGCTGTAGGAGAGGAGCTTTTGTCCTGGGCTTGTGAGGTGAGAAGAAAGACAGCAATATGAAGGTCACTGAGGAATTCATTCATTCGTGACTTCATTCGTGACTTCGTTCGTTCATTCAGTAACAGACATTTGAACTCCTACTCTGAGTTAGGTTCCGTGGGACACAACCTGAAAACAGAAAAATTATCCTGACCTCAAAGAGCTACAAGCCTAATGGGGAAGTCAACAAAACAAAATGTTAACACATTATGTGTTAAGTGGTAAGATGGAGCTCTAAAGGGTGAGAGGGTGGATCAGACAAAGTGTCCCAGAAGAGATGATGCCGTAAACTCGGACTTGAAAGACCAGTAGGAGTTGAGGTGAGAAAAGATTGGGGGAAGGGTGCCCAGGCAAAGGAAGCAGGGTGAACAAAGAGGAGAGGCCCTGGCATGGCCCATTTGGAGAGTGGGAGGTGCAGAGTAATGATTTCAGGCTGAGGCAAGGCCAGATTATTCAGTCTGGAAGGCTGCAGAGTCTGCAGAGCAGCCGGGGAACTGCTCAAGAAAATTTTAAGCATAGGGGTGTCACAGTAGTATTTGTCTTATTAAAAGATCTCTCCAACAGTATTGTGGAGAATGGTTTGGAGAAGGGACAAGATTAGAAGCAAAGAGACCAGCTAAAAGGCTATGAAACTAATTCAGGCAAGAAATGATGAAGGCTTGTGACAAAGGAGATTTGGAGGGGGAAAAATGTCCTAGAGATATTTAGGAGATAGAATTAAAACAGCCTGGTGATCTAGTGCCTATGGGGGATGGGAGAGAAGGAGTCAAGGACGGAGGACTCGTTCACTCTTTTTTTCAACAAACATTTGAGTGCTGCCTATGTATCTGGCATTCTTCTCCTACTTCATAATTTCGCCCGGGGCTAGGCCTGCGCCTGCATTGAACATTTGACAAATGACATATCCACTTTAAAAGAAACACCAATTAAGAGTCATAATTTGGCTGGTGAGTTTGATACGTTCCACCTGTGGAGCCCTGTGACCAAAGGGCAGATTGGAAGGCAAGCATTGATTGAATTTCATGACCTCGCAGAGGAAGACATGACCTCCCATAAATTCATGATCTTCCAGAGCTCATGCAACTAACTACAAAGGCAACAGTTGTTTTCAACTACTCGGTATTGAGTACCTAGAAAGGGGGAACAGTGACTTCTTTTTAATATATGCTTTTTACATCTAACACATTTTGTATGAACTAAAGCAGTGCTTCCTAAGTGAATTGTGTGGATCTCTGCAGTCAAGGAACTGGATCCATGAGTTCGAGGGTGTTTTTTTTTTTTTTTAAGTTACTTCAGTGGATTAGAAAATACACATATACTTAGCAAATTCCTCTCATGATTCTTTTGTAAGGATAAAGCTAAGCAGAGAGTTCTATGATAAATTTATTTCGATAAAATGTGAGCTAGTTTAAAGAAAAATATTAAATAGTATTGGGAATACAAAGATATAGCAAGTTGTTAGGATTTGAGCTAAATCAGAGACAGACTGGCCCTCCAGTTTTTGGGAAATACTCCTTTAGCCTGGAAGTTTCTGCTCCCACTCTAAGCCACTACTTCAGAGCTTTTAGCCAAGCTAAGGGAAGAGTTAATAAAATTTGCTGCGCTGAAGGAGTGCTTCCATTTTTATAAGTGCCTCTCGAAGACTTCTAACCTTCTAGTCCCCCAAGTGATGACTCTCACAATGGAATTTCAGACACTGAAATGGGCATTGTGGGACAGGCTTCTTTGCCAGAAACATTTGCAGAAATGTGACAGGCAGCTGTCCCCACTGCTTAGTCAGTGATGTAAAAGTTTACTCATGAAAATCCTTAACCAGGACCTGGGGATGTGGTTCAGTGGTAAAGCACTGGCCTAGCATGCGCAAGGTCCCGCTCTGCAAAACAAGAAAAGAAAAAAATTGAAAGAAAATTCAAAAACAAATGTATAAAATCCGTTTCATTATTACATATGCTATACCGCATACCACAGAGATGGCTGACAATTAAAGCTGGGCATGCCTGTATTCTCAGCCACTCCAGAGGTCGAATCGAGACAGAGGCAGAAGAATCCATTGCGCACAAGCATTCAGGACTAGCCTGGACAACATAGTGAGACCCTATCTCAAAAACAATGAACAAAAAGCTAAGAAAAAAAAAACTGACAAAATACTGAGTTTTCATCTTCTCTTCTACACAAGCAACTGTCTTACCTCCCAAGCTCAAAACCACTTCCTCATGCTGGAATTTTGGTCAGTGATTCATCTGAACTCTTCTGCAAGAAGAGAGAGAAACAATCAGCTTGGAGATACAAAAGGATGTGCTGATTGAAAGTGTTCACTTTTGACAATCTGTGGCTCTGTGCTCTCCAACTGAGTTGGAATCATTTAGATAGCATAGTTGGACTCCATTTTCCCCTTTGGACCACAGGGGAAGGCTATCTAGCACAGCAGGCCCAGAAGAACTTTTCTTCACCTTTCACTCTTAGACTTTAGTTTGAAAGAATTCGAGAATTCCCAGCTATAGCCAGCAGCTATTATCTTGCTGTAGCCGGGAGGACAGTCTGGTTCCATGGCTCCAAAAGCAGCATAAATCAAGTTTTCTGGGAGAGAGTTAAGAAAGGGTGTTCAGCAGCTGCTGCCATGGGAGGAGCTCATACACAGGCATGCACATGGCCACACACGCACACATTATTTGTCTTGGGCCCAGATCCTTTTGCCCCCTGGTGATGTTCTCCCCTTCCTGTCCCTCTCAGGTACACACTGTCTTCTGCTCTTAACCCCATCTCAAACCTGCTCTCAGGGAAGAAACTTTAAAACTCATCTATTCTCAGTGTATCTGGCTGATAGGATATAATGGGGCTGCCCACCCAGGGGTACAAGTATTTCAACAAGGATCAAAGCTTTAGACCAAAGGAATCGAGCTCTAAAAACTCTGGAATTCCAGGCATCCACCAGTGGGAAGGGAGTGTTTAAACTGAGGGGCAATGAGGCCTTTTTTGGTGCACCTGAAATCACATCATGTAGACAGTTGCTTATATGTTAGGCTGGTGCTGCTCACAGTCAACACCTCCAGAGCCACACCTCTGCACTCCATGGCACACAGCCACTTTGTCTCCTCTTCTCTTGCAGTGTATGACTCCTTTGTGGAGCAGAGGGAAGGGGAGGCGCCAGGCACACTGATCCCAATTCTCCCAAATGTATAAGCTATGATCAGAGAATGAATTATGGTCCTTTGGGAAAGAGTGTTCATTCATTCATCCTAGCCAGCAGTCCAGTGCAATGTAAATGGTAACTTTGTAAGTTGAAAGACTTAAAGTCATTTTGAAAATTGTATAATAATCCCAGGCAGAACTTGGCTGAGACGCTTACATTGTGAGTTATGGACAGATATCCTCTCCCAGACCAGGGACTCTGCTCTGCCCTCACTAAATCCACAAAATATACTGAGGTTTTTAGATGTTAGATGTTAGTATCCAAGGCATGAAAAATAAAGCTATTGAAAATTTTATTTGTGGCATCATGTTGATTACTACAAATAAAAATCATTCTATTTGTCTTAGTTTGCATAAAAGAATATTGATCTTGAAATTCCTAACATATTTCTTCATGCCTTTAGTTAATTGATTTTTTTATTAGACAGATCTACTACATGCATATCTAATACTTTTTGTCTTGTACACAAGATATTTTGTTGTCTATGAAAATTTGAATGGTTTGTAGCTGGACAATTAAGAGCATGGTAGCTTAAAGTTCAAAGACTGGTAATGCCTAAGGCAATATGACTAGAACCTGCATCCAAAGTGTGTGTGTCGGGGGGGGGGGGGGGGGGGGAAAAAAAAAATGAGCAGTTCTAAATGGTTCCATACTCTTCCAACCAGGCCCAGCCTCCTTCCACTTGCTACCAGCACTTGAGGGATCAT